TCATTGTGTAATTTCTTTCCCTTTCGTTTTGCTATGAACATGAGTGGCTAAACTCCTATTGGTTAGGGGTGATTTCAAAGCCATGACTATGTGTGCAATTTGATTTGATAAATTCCAATTATGAATTCTTGAATTGTGAATGCAATTGGCTTAACTATTTGATAAATAACTTATTTGTGTTTGTTAATTAGGGGTCGACACTTAATTGGCATGCATAAATATGATGCTAGAGTATAAGGATGTTTCACATAATCGTTACAAACTTATATTCATATGTAGTGAAGGTTGATAGTCACAATCGCGTTAAGTTCAATTCCTAGCATGAGTGACATGATGTCATAGTTGCAAGTGTTTTGTCATTGCTTATGGTTTTCATTGAACGTAATGATCTTTGATCGTATCTCTATTATGATGTCATGTAGGGGACCTTTGAAGAATGCTTTGGGTTGTCGAATGATGCCATCCAATCCAATAATACAAGGAAAACCTGAGAGTTAGCTAGTGATGTCACGACTAATTTGGGGCAATGTCGTTCATAGTTCTATGAAGGAATAATTGGAAATCAAGTCGTTTGCATACGTGTCATGTGTGGAGAAAGAGCCTCTAACTAATCAATCATCCATTTAAACTCCCAATTCGTTTTACAATCTGTTTTAATTATAAAGTTTTTGTTTTATTTGCAATTTCGTCAAAACCAATCTCCTCTTTATTTTGAAGTCCTAGATTAGTTAGAAAGTGTTTTAGTTTATGTTTTTAAGTGTTTTGATTCAAGTTATAACCCAATTTCGTTCAGATTTATGTTAGAGTTCAAAACTGCCCAGAAAGTGTTTTTAAGGCAGTTTTGAGTCTTTTGGTTGCTGTTTTGAGTCTTTTGGTTTGTTTTAGTGTTTTAAATTTTAGTTTTGCATTCTTTGAGTCTAGTTTAGTGTTTTAAACTTTGTTTTTACGTTTTTAAGTCAGTTTTCAAGTGTTTAGCAATCCCTCCTAATCCCCGGTTTAGAACGATCCCTACTTACATACTTTGCTACAATTGATAAAAAGAGGGTTTACTTTGTGTGACTTATATATTTCGCATCATTCATGCCTATCGAACTTCTCTCCGGTCAGCCACTGGAACAACTCCATACTCGTTGACTTATGGACACGACGTAATGTTACCGGTTAAGCTCTGTAAAAACTCGTTGCGAGTAATCGAACAAAGTAGTTTGTTCAGTGTCTAGTACAGTCGGGCTATGAGACAAGAGTTAGAAGATTTAGAAAAAGCTTGGATTGATGCTTATAACTTATTAGTGGCACAAAAGAAGATCACCGAGCGAGCTTATAATCAACGTGTCAAATAAAAAACGTTCGGCGAAGGGGAGTTGGTTTGGCAAATTATACTACCCGTAGGAATTAAAGACCCCAGGTTCGGCAAATGGTCGCCAAATTGGGAAGGGCCATTCGTTATTCATAAAGTTCTTGGCAATGGGGCATACCATCTTAGGGATCGAACTGGTGTGATTCACAAGTTGCCAATCAATGGGAAGTTTTTAAAGAAATACTATCTAGTCACATGGGAAATGCGGGAATAAAAGTTCATTTCATTAAGTTTGCAAAAGGGTGTACAAGTAGAATTGGTCGATCAGTTTATAATTAAATAACTCTAGGGTGATGAAGGAATGAGAGATTCAAGAACGGCCTTCAACTCCAACCACCTCACCTAGCCTATAGTGACCTCAGCTTGCTGATTCCTCTTATCCATCTTCAGTTGTTCAAGCTGCTTCACGTCTGCTTGCTTCAGTACTCGACTGCTTAAGAAAGCGAAGTCAAGTTAGTAAAATCGAGTAAATGTTTGAAGAATAACAAAACTTCTGTTAATGACATCTTCGACCGAAGTGCCAAAAAAGTCATGAGTATATCCTTCCCACCAATCGCCGAAGGTGTTAGTGCCGAGAGATTTAGGAACAGTTCGTCGAGACAAAAGTTTTTGCACTGTTCCTAAAACTTTTTCTCGGTATCTCCGCACTCCTTCTCTGAGGAGCCATAGAGGCATTCTTAGCTTAGGAGGGAGCAGGAAGTAAGTAAAGGCACCAGGCAACCTTTGAGGTAGCCGAGCTGTCGGGCAGCGAAGTGAGGGTGATAGACCTCTCAGCTCGGTCGGCGAGTGTCGCAGCCAAAGGCAAGGTCAAGTGTTATCACGAACGACCCCCAGTTTTGATGAAGACCAGCATCCTCATTTTCACTCCATGTAGATATTGGAAGCCTAATAGGAAAAAGGTATTTTTGACGACAAAATATCAAAAATTCGTCGTCTAAGAGGACATCTAGGCTGAAGAAGTATTTGAAGACTTTTTTGGCCCGGTGCTGAGGCGCCAGTCGAGATGCCAACTGAAGACCGAGCGCTGTAGTAGACTGAAAGTTGGGGATCTTTGGCCGAAATGTGGAAAAAATAGACTTACAGCTAGAGTTAGAATACCAAGAGAGGTCCGTTCTGGTGTGGGTCAATTTTGTTGATGGTCGTTTTGGCTAGACAGCGCAGAAGGTTAGCGAGGATAGCTAGACTAAGCTCCAAGGAGTGACCACTAGCCAGGGTTTCAGCCACCAGCATATTTTCAACCAAGCACTTATTTGACTTGGTACAACATATAAACTTGTTGTACCAATAAAATAGGAAGGCTTCGTGCTCTCCATTCGACAAATTCTCCTCCCCTCAGCCAGCAAAATGGATGATGAGGGTGTTGTAGTTGAAGAAGTTCTTGTGCAACTTCTGAACTTCTTTTTTTGAAGGCTCTTGACCTTCTTGACTCAGCGTCTTGACGACCCGTTCATCGAATAATGTTTTAAGGTTGAGATTTGACGGGCACCCAAAAATGGCGGTATCTACTGGGATGCCAGAGGGAGAAGTCCCAAGGATAGCTGAGATGTCGTGATGGTGGAGGTGATACGGCCGAAGGGAATGATCATGATGTTGGTGGCCAAGCATTAGAAGCTCAGAGTTGCCATAAGGAGTTCTTTCTCCATGGCAATCTCCATGGTCGAAAGTTTAATGGCATCGTGGATGCCAAGAGCTTCCCATTCTTTGCCGAAGAATTTTTCCATCCGTTCGACCCACGCCACCCAGGTCGCGTTGGTCGAAGGTTAGACACCTTAAGGCTTCGTCAGGCACCACTTCGACCAATCGAACCTTTGCAGCAAGGGTGTTAGGTAATGGTCTTTGAAGAGGTTGGTGATGGACGATGGCACTGCATCCTTGAAAAGGGGTCCCAGGATTTGATGAATGACTCTTAAATCACTCTCGTTTGGGATCAAGCCATTTGTAGTTCACCATCAAATTTAAATTGTTTACTAAAAATATGCAAGTGGTGGATATGTTCAATACTAGATCCAAACAATCAAATCATATCAAGCGAATATCAAATATGAAATCAGAATATCGAATTTAGCTTAAAATGGCAAAGTCAGCCCACTGGCCACATGCCATCACACGTGGCAGTTTTCGGCAAACGGAAACCCAATTTTCCGACTAACTCCAAAAATTACCAAACTTCATAGATTTGTACTACACAATAAGGGGAAGAATTTTCATACCTAGGCCAAAGTCAAACTGGGCCAGGAAACACCTGAAACTGCCCTCGATCTGCCGAAAACCCTAGAAATTGGTGGTTATCGATTTGTCTCCATTGATGCTCCAACGCCCTAGATATTGTTTGGTCCTTACTCCTGGGTTCAAGGGGAGTCAATTGGTGGTGGTGGTGCGCACGGTGGTGACCAGGGACGAAAAATTCATCGTCGGGAAACTCAGAACCCTTACGGATCCATTTCTTTTTTCTCCTGAAATCATAATCAAATCGGGCCAAATTTGGGAGGATGATGTTCGTGATGATGAGAGAAGTTCAGGAGTGGTGGTGGCGATGATCAAATCGCTGGGACAACGCTGGGGCCGGGTCACGATTTGGAAACGGGTTAAGTGATGACCCAGGTTGGCTGCTCATTCCCCCTATCTCATTTCCCTCATTTTCTCTCCTCTTGATTAGGCAGCACCCCTCTTTTCTCTCATTTCCTTCTTTCTTCCCCAATGCCAGCCACACATGTGGCTTCTCTCCAAAGGAAACTTCTCCCACATTTTCTGGAGCCTTCTAGAAAATGTGCTTAACTTTACTATTTTACCCTTGCCATTGCTTGTTAATTTCTCCTTCATTATAACTTTGATTCGCGAACAGCTTTCGCCTACGCGCTCATGGGATCTACCTCTATCAAAATATGCTAAGAAATATGGCGAAACATATAAGAATAAAATACGTCCCCGTATAATTTTGTTTAGCCAACTAGGCGCATTTTTATCTTTTTCATTTACCAAATAAATATATGTTGTAAATATAAATACGTCGTAACTCAGGAAACGACAATAAAATACTTAATTAATAATAAAATCTTGAAACGGGATTTCACATTTCCATTCATTTGGATTTCATAATTATCAATTAATTTGAATTTAATAACTAAATCACGTATTTAAAAATTATCAGGGTATTACACTTAGGGCACGTTTGTTTGGCTTCACTAACCTGGACTGGACTGGACTGGACTAGTTTTTAGTGTAATCCTCTGTTTGTTGGCTGGCAGGACTAAGTTTAATGGTATTAAGTGGGACTCGCTTTCACTAACTCCTTCATTAAGTGGGACTCTGCTCGCTCGCTCTTCGTGTTCGTCCTGCTCGCCCTACTCGTCATGCTCGTCTAGATCGTCCTGATCGCTCGACTTACTACATCGGCCACGCTCGCTCGCTTGAGCAGGCTAAGAAATCGTCAGTCTCTCTCTCACTCGTCATTTACAAATTCCATTTGTTGTTTTGATTATGTGAAATCTGGATTGCTTTGATTTTGTGAAATCTGGGTTGGTCTTATGCTTTGAAATTGCTTGTTCTTCAATGATTTCTGCTTCTGGGTATTTTATGATGTAGTTGTACGGATTTGATTTCTGCTTCTGGGAAATTGCAAATTCCATTTGCTGCCACTGTAAGTTAATTCATCTGTGTCTCTTGATTCAATCTTTGACTCCTGATACATTGTTTAGGTGGCTTTTAACCTCCTGCATAGAGCTACTTGATATTGTATCTGTCAATCTATGCGAGGTCCAAGGTTTATCTTTCTATTTACTAATTTATCTTTGGGGGGAATTTTGTCATAATGAGTTAGATAGAGGCGTTCTTAGGGCTTATTTAGCATTATAATCAATTAATAAATGGATCATATGGATCATTATTGTTCCATAAAGTAGTTAATTGGTTATCAATATCATCTGTAAGGAGTGATGTCTGGATTAAGCTTACAGCTCTGTTCCTTTGTTTGGAAATTTTGTATGGGTTGGATGTAAGCATGAATCCTGGATTGTAAGATTATGGTGCCCTTTAACTGAAGCTTGTCATGTATTTGATTGAAATAATATGAAATAAGCACAACTAGTTGCTGATGGTGATCCAATGTAGTTTTTGGGACCTAATGAGACACTGCTCTAGATATCTGAAACATCAGTACTAAAAATGAAACATGATTGAGAAAGTCTTAGAAAAACATCCTACCTTTATATATAGGTACGTCAGATAGGCACACTCTTTCTTTGGCTTTATTCTTACAGCCAATTCTCTGTTTAGAATTGATGATATCGGAGCATTGATCTCCTTAACCTCATTTCCTTCAATAATTGGCTATATTTTCTTATGATATCATAATAGGTTTTGCAAAAGGGGTATGGATGATGGGCGTGATTGATGAGATTCGAATGCCTGTTACAGAAACAAACCGAAACCCAATATTAGTTGACACAAGGACTCGTGTGAAAGATACACTTACTGTTGAACCACAACGAAGAAATGGAAGGTATGCACCTTTATTAGCTTCTGTTTTGGGCTGATTTTTTGTTGCCAAGTTGCCATTGATGAGGAAATGCACCAGAATGAAGTCACACTCTATTATGGCAGGCTTCAATTAATGTGCTACAAGTACATTTGGGATGATTTAGTTGCTGATAAATTCCCATCAAAGAAATTTTTCACTTTTTTTCCTTAAATCCTCATGGTATCTTATATGAAGAAATCAGAGAGATGGCTGCTAACTCAAGGTTCCCAGCAGAGGTAAAGTTTCTCCATTGAATTATTTGATACATTTAGTCTAGGAAATCAGGATTTTCGGGGTTTTCTATTGTTTGATGTTCCCATTATCACTATACTTGCTTCAAAAACCAATCACTTGATATTAAGGATGCTTTTTTTTAGTAATTGTTTTGTTTATTAGTTCATAAACAAAATTGTGTGACATAGATTTTTCAGATAATTACCACTGATGACATAGGTGAAAAATTTGTTTCATAAACAAAATTTGTTTTGTTTATTAGTAATTTGTATAGGTAAACAATTTCTCTTGGTTGTGCAGACCCTTGATGACATAGTGAGATACTACAAAAACACATGTAGCATGCTGCCCTCTACACATGACCAGCTGCTATTGAGGTGAGTATAAAATTTATACACGAGATCTTTTACATTTGCTTGGTCACAATAACTTTTGGGAAGATACTGATATGACTATTTTTGAGTCAGATATGAGTTACAGAAAGATCATTCGTTACTTGGTGAAGATGAGTTTGCATACGACTATGATTGGGTCAAGAATCAAATACAGGGTTGTCTTGAGTTCTGGTTAGGAGAGCGAGAAACAAGTTACACTCCTAAGGATGAGGGATGGAAATGCAAGTTCTGTCAATATTCTTCTGTTTGCCCCACTAGACGTGCAAAGTCTGCAAACTATACTAATACACCAAGTTAGAGAAAAGCAGTAGCATTGGTGATGTTTCAATCAACATCGTCAGTAAGTGTACAAAGAAGCACAATTCTTGGAGTTGCTTCTTTGGGGTAATTGCTGTGTTGGTTGTGCCATGAATGTATCGTTCATGTTGTATCGTAGTCGTTGTTTGATTCAATTGTTGTAACTTAATTCTTTGGATGAAATCATTAAACAGGAGTTGTAAAATTCAATTGTTTTGTATTGAAAGCTACGCTCAAAGTGCAAAGGATGTCTCTCTATCAAATTTAGCAAAGTCAGATAGTGATGTTACAATTGTATGTTAACATTAGGATGAATGAATATGGTATTATTCATGGATTTTGGGAGGCTGTGAAGAAGAAATCAAAATTTTCTTCCTCCAAATTTGTGGTCTGATAAGTTTGAGTTTTTAACAATTTTGGGTTGCTGAATGTTTATAGATTTCTCAATTATAGAGGCTTAAAGGGATTTTAGACCAAAAAGTGAGAAAGTTTGATGTACTGATTCTAAATTCCTAAGTTGTAGGAAAGCGCTGTTTGTTTTTGCAAATTGCAATGCTACAATGCACAAAAACTCAATATTTTCTTTCGTTTCCAAGCAATTGTTGTTGAGTTTAATGTAATTATCATTTGATTTGACTGTGGGCATTTTGCAGTTGAGTTGGATGTAATTCTATCGTTAAAATTTGTAATTTCACTATTTTTCATTATCCTGATTTTTAGTCCGACACTGCACCAAACGCTTTACTAAATTAGTCCATCTTAGTCTATTCTAAGCCAGTTCAGCTTAGTCCCTGAAACTAGTCCAGTCCGAGATAATCCGGTGCAACAAACGCACCCTTAAGGATCTCATGATGCCTAGAAAGTCATACGAAAAACTATTTTGAAGTCATATTAATGTCTAGACGTTGTCTATTTAGTTGAAATTTGAAATTTTAAACGACTACTATTAAACAAATAATTTCCAGGTTGAACAAACAAAAACACACGCCAAAGTCATACTATTTTGTTTGGTATAAAGGTTCATATCATTATCTACTGTATTTGTATCCAAATTGCGTAGTTTCAAATTTATATTTAACTTATTTCAATACATATTTAACGAAAAATCATCCGAAAAGAGATTTCATTTTTCATAATATAAACTGCATTTTAACAAAACTTTATTTGTCAATCAAAAGAGGGTGAAAAGGCCAAATTAAAACTGTCTAGTAAAAAAGAAAAGCAATCAAAACAAAATTTATGTGCAATATAGTAAATTACACACAAAAGTACCTTTATCTAACCGAGTTATTTGCCATGTGAGACATAGAAGGATTGTCTCTTTAACTCAATCAATTAGGAAGAAGTTTAGACATAACGATCAAGCTATATTGCTTTTAGTGCATTTCTAAGTCTATTAACCTTTTCAAGTTATGTAGATTAGCCTATAATCACCTATCTATTCGGTACGGTCAATTAGGTCCTCTCCATTCGGTATGGTTGTTTAGGTCCTCTCCATTTGGTATGGTCAATTAGGTCATCTCCATTCGGTACGGTTAGTTAGGTACACTATATAGTTTCGTTACAGTCATTTTCTCTACATACAATTAGTTCTTTTCATTTATCTTTTCTCAATTTTAATTTATTAAGTCCAAAACTATAAAAAAAAATGAATTCATTTGAGACAGCGTAAAGATAAATGAGATTTAAACATTGCAAAATTGCAAGTAGAATAAGATGTGAAGCAGGGGGATGAAAGCTCATTGAAAAATAGGAAAACTAATGAAAAGGGTTTAAAAACTTTGAGTTTTAATGATAAGGACAAAATAAAGGGTAAAGTGAATAGTACCAGGATTGACTTTTTAGTGTAAAAATATGGTTTTTCATTAAAGTGAACAGTACCGGGTGTTTTTCGTTAAAGTTCCCAAAAAAAATAGTATATTATGCATCTTAGTTGGGAAGGGAATGAGGATATGGCCTTGTCTTTGCTGGCTGTGCAATGCCATCCTTTGTTTTTATTTATTTTTTGTAATTTTTGTACTGTCATTTAGGACCAATCAATTTGGTATGGTCAGATAGGTACGATTTGTACGTTTTGGTCCATTTGATTCGGTATGGTCAATTAGGTTGTGAATTCAATTGCTTACGTTATGATGTTTGGGTCTGTTTAATTTGGTAAACTCAATTTGGGCACACTTTCAGATAATTATGTTTATAGTTATTTGGCCCCAAAATACCGGTTTGGGCCGAGTTTAGAATTGTTCTCGGCCCGAAAGCGTTGCTCCGGGTCCGGCTGTGTCCTATCAAGATGGGGTAGTTGAATCCTGATACAATAAGGAGTCTCGGCAGGATGAGGATGCTAAAACTTGGGAATGGTCAATTAGGTTGTGAATTCAATTGCTTACGTTATGATGTTTGGGTCTGTTTAATTTGGTAAACTCAATTTGGGCACACTTTCAGATAATTATGTTTATAGTTATTTGGGCCCAAAATACCGGTTTGGGCCGAGTTTAGAATTGTTCTCAGCCCGGAAGCGTTGCTCCGGGTCCGGCTGTGTCCTATCAGGATGGGGTAGTTGAATCCTGATACAATAAGGAGTCTCGGCAGGATGAGGATGCTAAAACTTGGGAATGAATGCGGCTTGATAAGGGGTTGAATTCAATGTCTTAATCGGAGTAGGATTGGTCGAGATAAAATTGGATCGGGGTAAGGAGTCCTAATCCGAGTATAGTTTTGATTCAATCTTCTACTATAAATAGAGGGAGGAGTGCATCATTCAAGCCCCCTCCAATTCAACACATAAACTGCCCTGCGGAAACACTCACTCTACGCGAAACCTCTTAATAAACCTTGAGATTTTTATTTTCTTTTTCGCCGACACCAGCAAACATCTTCAGTTTGGATAAACAACACTGTGAAGGTAACCGGCGAACATCTTCACTTTGGATAAACAACACTGTGGCCGCAGAATCAGCCGACCGTGAAGCACCTTCAGTTTGGATAAACAACACTGCGTCAAGGTCGACTGGTTATCTATCCAAGTCTCGGTCGAGAAGGGTTTTCAAATCCTTATTAGCAGAGGTCATCTCACGAACCTTCTCGATGAAGTGAGGTGTTACGAATCACCAGACTTGGTGCGTTGAACGCCGAGTTATTTTATGATTGGATACTCACAAGTTGGATTTAGAGTTCGGCATTCTGACGGCCAAACCACATTTATGATCAAAACGTACATCTACTTTGAATACTTGTGTCCATATAGTCTGGTGTTGATTTAGCGTGCTTATACACTTACGAATATAATCATCGTGACTGAATCCGACGTCGACGATTTGTGAACTTCATAGAACTAGCAGCTTTGTCTTCAAGCTTTAGAACCCGAAGGTCGAGAGTGTTTCTTCCTCGGCCACAATCACAAGATCAAGAAATTAGCAGCGCACGCAACGTAACATCAACATATTTTACTCCTCAGCCAAGCTTGGCAGATGAGTTGGCATGCCCGCATCAACCGAATGATGTAGTTAGCTAATTAGTTACTCGGTCTACGTGCCACATAGGCTTGGTAGTTTTTAGGGTCAACAATAGTGTAGGTCTGAACAATTTGGTATGAAAAAGTTGGTATCGTTAGTAATAATTAGGTTTGAATTCACCTGAGGACTTATTTAATCCATCTTGTTGTAATACCTAATACATTTCAACCATTTTGTAAACCATGATGCGTTTTCATATTGTATGAATCCATCTTTGCATTGTGGTTACATCTGCCAATGATAGCCAATTCCATTTCTCCTACAAACAAATAAAACATAAAACAAAAGTGAGTGCAATGAACTAACCATGTGTACCTAAGAATGAGACAAAATGGTCAAATCTCCTAAACAAACAATTGAAAGCAACCAGTGGAAAAGATAGTCCTCAAGAACAACTTAAAAGGATTATAAGTAGGCAACTGAACAAACAAAGTATGTCCGACAACTTAATGTATTTCTTGTGTTGAACAAATGATTGTTGTTTGAATTTTGTTATTAGTGCCTCACTTGTGGTACTGTACATAATATGATTGTGAACTAAATTACTTCTTTAGTTAAGAAAGATACTGCTGTTGAAATAACTAAAAAGCAAGAAAGCAAACAAAATGTATGAATGCATAGGTACACAATTTGTTCACACAAGATACGAATGCATCATCAATCACAATGCCTTCTCTAGTAAAATTATACTATAGAACTTGGTGCACTAGGGACATACAGAGAAGGGATTGTGCACAGTTTAGTAAAACTAATGTTATGATATACTAAAGAATTTGGTACAAATTGCCATCAAAACTGTCACTAATGCACATATTAGTAAGACTATGCCACCAAGTTCGCATGTGCGGGATCATTTAAAAGGAATTCACTTGAGCATTCATCAAACACAATATATGCATTGTGGATTGATCATGTAAACCCCAACACAAATTCAATCAAAGGTAATCCATGCTTCAACTATTTGTAAAATGTTAATTGAAACATTTGAGAGAATTAAAGAACAACATTCTACAGTTTATAGAACTTACCCCAGAATGGATGGACTGGTCAAAATTGGTGCTGAAAACCCAAACGAAAAATAGTCTAGAATGCACGGATCACCAGTCAATAACACAACAACTGCTTCACTTTGATTTTGGACCCAAGAGTTTATATAAGAATTCTGAAAATCAGGATGATTTCTATGAATTGATAATGAAACAATCCAACCAATAAGGGGAAACTGATTTTCGGGATCAATATATAGAAATGAAGCGTGAACATCGTCATCAGCAGAGAAAAAGGGAAAAACTTCATTGATGCCGAAGATGGAAAGCTGAATCGTAACTGAATGCAAAGAGATAAGAGGGATCAATAACTCCAAAATGTTTAAAAATTTATCTGCACCTAAGGGCAATATAGGGATACTAAAAATATAATAAATTTGTAGAAAAATAATAAAATATGACATGGACTATATAATCTGACATGGACACGAGTCAAATGATTATTTTTAGTTTTTAATCTTCAATACTGTATTATTGAAAATTTAATCTTATTTCGAGATCAAAATGAAGTTTTCTATTTTCTAAATATACTAACTTGCAAACCAGTAATTAACTAGTTAATTAAAACTGGATAGGTAAAAGTCTTGTTTCCTCTTTTTGTCTTTTCCTTTTTGTACAAAGAAAGTTGGTAAAAGTTGTCGTTTTAAACCCTAAGCTCCAAACCCTAAAAGTAGACAAAAGATAAAAAACCCACAATTCTAAATACAACACCTTAATGAAATTCAACAGTGGCTGGAACCTATTATTTAATTTTGGGAAATACTCCAAAATGGGACAATTTCATAATCTTGAGACATAAATAGGACAAACTGGCCATGAACAAGCTATGCATACCATGCACAAAACCGAAATTACTAAAATACCCACATATAATACTAAAAATCATCAACCTCTTGCATCATTATTCTCATTTGGGAAAAAAAGGGATGTCAAGAGAGCTCTCTAAGTTCTGGGTTTCTGGGTTGAGCTCAGATCTCTAAGCTCCGATTTCAAAGAGAGGGAAGTCTAAAGAGAGGTGAGAAGAGTGAGTTGGGTTTTGAACCATATTTGCTATTTTGGCCGGAAAGTTTCATTTTTTCTGGCGACTAAAGCTTCGGCAGGCATTGTAAGGTAGGGTGTTTAGTTCCAAGTTCCTTAATCAATGATTTATGGAATAAATGGGTCGTTTGTAAGATGAATTAATACTTAGAAGTTAAATTTTCATGTTGGGGCGTATGGGTTGTGGAATAAATTTTAAGTTTTGACGTGCTACAAAACTGGGATAGAACAATTTCTTGTTCAAGTGTTCAACTGCAAAAATTTGTAAATTTTTTTCTGTAATGTGAATGTGGTGTGCATGGCTACATCTTAATATGAGAAGCGAAAATGTTCACTAGTTATGATGTACGTATGTTGTGCCTCGGAATTTAGTGAGTATGACCACAACATAGTTGGCCTCGGCGAAAAACAAAATTAAGAAAAAGCTTAAAAGACGTTAAGGTCATGCGTGTCCATGAAATAATGACAACGAGTATCATGTTTTCCACGTGCATGATTAAGCAGTGGTTGATATGTTAACTCTATAGCACAAACAAGATTCAGTTACTCAAATCACAATCGAACAAAATACAAAACACCAATCCATATAGGGTTGAAGTATACTAACGTGAAGAACTTCCATTGGATGGTGCCATGGTTATCAACGATCAACCTGAATGCACAACAACTCTTCTTCTCTCTGTCAGGATACTAATTACTCAAACTAAGAATAGGGCTTAGTTCTTAAAGAGCGTAATCTTGTGAGAGGAGAGATCGCTATATATATCCATACACATATTCCTTCTCACAATGGAATGAGGATTTCCCTATTAGAATCCTTATGGAAAACAACTTATGTTTTCCCAATCCATATCAGTTCATAATTACTACAAAATCCTCTAGTGACAAAAACTAGTATACATCTTCCTATAAGGCTTTCTTATACCAATTGGTCTCAAATAGCTAATGCCAGTCACCTAATCTCATGTTCATATTCTCTTACATTCTCCCACTTGAGAATGAGACAAAGATCAGGCATGGCTTTCAACAATTATAAGAAGTGATCACACAGCCTTATTCAAGATTTACCATCATGACTAACATCTCATTACATTTCAAAATACAGAAACCAAGAATCTCAAACTACAACCAAAATGCAGTATTGATTCAAAGCTCACATATATCCAATCTGCAAATATGACTCATGACTTAAGCTGATATAAAGAATCAAGATTATGCTCCCACTTTTCAAAAGATTATAACACATATTAATCTTCAATGAAAAGGAACATATTAATGAGTAAATAAAATTCATTTAACTATAAACTTTAAAACAAACAAACTATTTTTCCAAAGTATCAAATGAATCTAAATTCTAACTCAGTCCATCATTAGAACTACAATACTTTAAAACTAAAGCATTGAGTCTCAAGACAAAGACTTTTATTAAAAACACAAAATAAAACTAGCAAACTAGCTATGTATAAATTAACCTCAGCTTGTCAGAACTGCACCCATTGTTCCAAATCACATATAGCTGCAATCCCAAGCTCTTGAAACACATTTGATTACTCCCATTAATCAAAACCCTCTAGCACTCCTATCCTAGAAACATGTTTTTTAAATACTCCAATAGGCATTGCTTTAGTCAAGGGGCCATCAAGCATCATAGCAGTGCTTATGTGCTGGACTTCAATAACTCATTTCTTTACCCGTTCTCTGACTTTAAGAAATTTCACATCCATTAACCTTGAAGCGGAAGTACGCTTGGCAAAGAATATAGCCGAGTTGTTATCACAAAACATCTTAATAGATTCCTAAATTGAATTTACAATCTTTAAATATGTCAAGAAATTCTTCAACCAAGTTGTTTGTTTCATACCTTCAAAACAAGCTACAAATTCAGCCTCCATAGTGGGTGTAGCAATGACAGTTTGTTTTGCACTTTTCCATGAAACTGCCCCTTCATTGAGCATGAAGATATAACCTCCTGTTGACTTTTTGTCATCCACATCTCCAGTCAAATCTGAGTCAATTTATCCCATAAGTTCCAAAGAATCGCTTCTAACATACACCAACATATAACTTTTGGTTTTCTGCAAGTATCGCAAGACTTTCTTAGCTGCCACCCAGTGTGCTTCACCTGGATTTGCTTGAAACCTACCTAGCATGCCAACAATAAAGGCAATATTTGGTCTTGTACATATAGTTGCATACATGAGACTTCCAACCAATGAAGCATAAGGTTGAGACTGCATTTTCTTCATTTCCAAATCAATTTTTGGACACTGATTTTTCGTGAACTTATCTATTTTATTAACTGGAACTTGACCATTGTTGTAGTTTTCCATATTAAACCTCACTAATACTCTGTTAATGTAACCTTTTTGAGATAAACCAAGAAACCTCTTCTGTCTTTCTCGAACAATCTCTATTCCCAATACATAATGTGCTTCACCGAGGTCTTTCATCTTAAAATTATCACTTAGCATTCTTTTAGTGCTTTGAAGCAATTGTGGACATGAACTAGCAAGATGAATATATCAACATAAAGCACTAGGAAGATGAATTTGGATCCTAAAAACTTAATATATATGCAATCATCCAGCTTATTCTCTACAAAACCTTGTGCAGAGACAATTTGATCAAATTTCAAATACCATTGCATTGATGCATGTTTCAAGCCATATATTGACTTATTGAGCTTGCAAGCCATATATTGACTTATTGAGCTTGCAAGCCATATTTTCCTTCCCTCTTTCAACAAATCCAACAAGTTGTTTCATATAAATGTCCTCTTGTAGGTCTCTATTAAGAAAATATGTCTTTACATCCATTTGATGTAACTTAAGATCAAAATAGGCAGCTAAAGACATGATAACTCGCATGGAATCTTTAAAGGAACTGTAGAGAAAGTATCATTATAATCGATTCCCTCTCTTTGAGTGAACCCCTTAGCAACCAACCTTGCTTTATATCTCTCAATTCTACCATTAGCATCCCTTTTTGTTTTATACACCCACATGCAATCTATTGGCCTATTTTCAGAATTTGATTCCACCAATGTCCAAACTTGATTTTTGAACATTGAATCTAACTCATCCTTCATAGCATTGTGCCATAGAACTGATTAAGGACTTTCAATTGTCTGAGTGTATGTAAGAGGATCATCAATGTCATCTATATCAAAATCACTTTCTTGTAAGTACATAGAGTCACTTATTGTAGTAGCTTTTCGAGCTTTTGTAGATTTTCTTAGTTCAATTGAAGGTGGGATTGATGTTGTAGACTGTGATAATTGTTTAACCTCCATAGTGTTATCAACATGAGTCCCTAATTCTTCACTTAAATATTCAATTGCAGGTGACAATTGTTGAGGAAATAATGGAACTTGAGTGTAATCCATTGCTATAGGGTTATCATGAATCTGATGCATATCTTCAAATACAAAATTTTCCCTTCACAAATACGAAGCACCTTGATCTTCTAGAAAGGCTGCATTATGTGTTTCTTGGATCCGAGTATGGTTTTGAGGAATATAGAACCTGCAATCGTTTGACTTCTCAGAGTAGCCAACAAAGTAACATGATTGTGTTTTGGGATCTAACTTCTTTTCATTAGCATTGTAAAATTTAGCCTCTGCCTTACATCCTTGAACATGAAAGTAGACAAAACTTGGGACTCTCCCATGCCACAACTCAAATGGTGTTGTTGAAACTGCCTTATTGGAAACTCGGTTCAATATATAATTTGCTATTTTCAAAGTTTCTCCCCATAAGAAACCTAGTAGTCTAGATCATATCATACTCCTAACCATGCAAATGAGAGTCTTATTTCTTCTCTCTGACACACCATTCTGTTGAGGTGTGTTCTAGGTGTGGTGTATTGTGCCGTTATGCCATTCTTCTCAAGATTTAGAGCAAATGGACCCTTTTGCTACCCTGATTCAGTGTACCTTCCAAAGTATTCTCCTCCCCTATCTAATCTAACAATTTTAATAACCTTCCCTAACTGTTTTTCAACTTCAGTTCTTTGAATAATAAAACAATTACATGCATCTGACCTCTCACCAATGAGAAAAGTATATCCAAGCCTAGAAAAGTCATCAATGAAATTGACAAAATACCTATTCCCATAAAAAAAATTTAATTGGAAAGGGACCACATATATCAGTGTGTATGATTTGTAATAACCCTTGACTTCTCTTAGCATCCATTTTTCTAAAATTAGTCATTTTGCCCTTTAAACAATCAACACACTCATTTGCAATAGTGAAATCTAATCTTGGAATTAATTCAACCTTTGAAAGTTTAATTACTTTTTTTTTAGAGATATCCCCTACCCTTTTGTGCCAGAGAATGTAAGAAGTGTCATTTTCTAGCATCCTTTTGGAACCAACATTCAATACTGAGTGATTATTTGACTCCACTAAGCATTCTAGACTCCACAAGTTATTAGATAGAAAAGCAGTTCCCAAAACCGAATCAACAACAAACGAAAAACCATCTTTTACAATTTTGGAAGCAGAAATTAAGTTTCTTCTCATCTTTGGCACATAGAGCACATCCTATAATTGTAAAACAAAACCAGAAGCTAGTCTTAAGTTCAAAACCCTTATTAGAATTCTTAAATGATTTAGAATTCTTACCAGAACCAGAAGAGCCTTCATTTTTTAATAGCTTATTCTCCTTTCCAGTTTGCAGAAAATTGACATCCTCAATTTCTTTGCCTTTCTCTTGCTTTTGATGAGTTTCTTCTTGTACACCATGTGCAATGAACTGATCAATGTCCTAGTTTTTATCTTTAATGTTGTAGGAAACTTTTAACTAGCTATATTTATTGGGAAACGCTTGAAGAATCATGAATACCAGTTGCTTTTCATCAATGTTTACATCCATTGAATTGAGTTTTTCCATAACATCGGTCATGTTCATAATGTGGTCCCTTATAGAACCAATACCCTTAATCTTGTATGTAGTCAATAGAGAAATGTATTGACTCACTTCAACTTTCTCAGATTCTTTAAACTTCTTTTCAATTGCATTAAGGTAGTCAACAACCAAATCATGTTTCTTGATTCCTCCTCGAATTGTATCAGTCATACCATTCTCTAGGGATAGACAGTGCCACTTTATTGGCTCTTGTCCATCTCTCAAAATTTTCTTTTTCAGCTCTAGTGCTATGATCATTGATGACAGGCTTGGGATTTTCAATTGCTATATCAAACTCATTTAGTGTTAATAACAAACTTATGTCCCTTCTCCACTTCTTATAATTTCCCTCACCAGTGAGGATTGGAATGTTAGCTAAATTGAGGGTCTTCATTGATATGGAAGACACTAAAGAACACAATGAAATCACAAAAGAACTTTTAAGGTTCCACATTTCTTTCTTTAGTTTATTGCACATCATATAATCAAAACTATTATCCATATACATAATCTTAACAACAAAAGGTTGATAAGCACATATAGAATAAAAGTTTTTTAGAACATTAAGAATCAATTGTTATGTAATCATGGACATCCATCTCAACAATATAAAAGATTTGTCTCAAACAAACAATTCTTTTCATCAAGTTTTTCTGCATAAAGCGAGCGGTGTATGCAAAAGGTCCAAGCTAAACTTTCTTTGACAGATAGTTAGAGAAAATGCATAATCATGGGATTGAAAGGTAGAAATAAGTGTAATCATGATGCTTGTTATTCAAATCATGCTGATGAAAGGAATATATTCGAGACAAGAAAGATCAAAATCCAAATTTCAATCCAATGTTTAGAAGACTATGAGTATTAATACCTAGCAGCTGGGAAACATTTATAATAAATATTGAAGACTCAACAACAACTTGAACAACCTAGATCAATAAAACTCAAAATTGAAAAGGTAAATTGTTGTATTCCTAATCCAAGAAAAACCCCAAAAGTAGATAGGTTTCGAGTTCTAATGGTCAAAAAAATTAAACAATCATATTTTATTAAAACACACCGTTTTTTTCCTAGACCCAATTTTAAGTCTAAAACCAGTTTCGAAACCTGAAGACATCGGTTTTATTTATTTATTTATTTATTTGGATTTTATCGATTTTGTTGATTGAATTTAAGAACATGAATCTAAGGCTATGATACCACATGTTAACTCTAAACCACAAACAAGATTCAGTTACACGAATCACAACCAAACAAAATACAAAACACCAATCCATATAAGGTTGAAGTATACTAACCTGAAGAACTTCCATTGGATGCAGCTATGGTTATCCACGATCAACTTGAATGCACATCAGCTCTTCTTCCCTCTGTCAGGATGCTAATTACTCAAACTAAGAATATGGCTTAGTTCTTAAATAGCGTAATCCTATGAGAGGAGAGGCCGCTATATATATACATACACATATCCCTTCTCACAATGGAATGAGGATTTCCTATTAGAATCCTTATGGAAAACAACTTAGGTTTTCCCAATCCATATCAGTTCATAACTTCAACAGAATCCTCTATTGACAAATACTAGTATACATCTTCTTATAAGGTTTTCTTATACCAATTGGTCTCAAATAGCTAATGCCACATCACCTAATCTCATGTTCATATTCTTACATGATATACGTAACAAGACTTTTCAAACTCTCACTGTAACCTTATATACGTAACAATTTTATTTTAATTGTCCATTGTACCAATACGTTGCTGTTAAAGTTTCTCTCGTTCTGTGCATAGCATATGCATGTACTGTACATATTATGTGCATGTGGTGTGCATATAGTGTATATGGTGTGAATTTACATCTTTGATACTTTTCGCATTAACGTAGTTTACTACTTTTGGCTTTGATTCAGAGGCAGGCCCTGCAAATACGAAAAAAAGCGAACGAGTTCGTGAAACAATTTCCTTTGATTAAGTTGGGTTTTTTCGTGCCCATTCAAACTGCAATTTTCAAATCCTTGAAATATTTGAACCCAATCAAATTTGATACCAAATTCAAATTAATGGATCTTCGATTCTTCATATAAAGTTTAGGGTCATTTATTTGTTTGCGTTTTTTTTTAGCTATGAACTATGACTTTTTGGATTGAGCTCATATCTATGAGCATAACATGTGCATGTCATGTATATGTTATGTGCATACAATGTATGAGTGAACTTAATACGAAGAGAGCGAATGAGTACTCGAAACAATTTCGTCCATATCATTCTCTCTTCTTTCCACTCTAATTTCTCTCTTTTCCCTCAAATTTATCTCTTCTCCAAAAGGCAACTGACCTTTAATACGTTTTTTCATTTAATTGAAGCAAAAGCCAAACCCTATTTTAGTGCTTGTAAATTTGGATCGAGAGAGGAAGCAGAAGGAGGGAGAAGACAGAAGAAATGAAAACCCATATGTAAATAAGAAAGAGGATAAAAAAATAAAAAATAAAAGTTGAGGAATTTGGGTCTCCTCTAAGGAACACCAAACCAATCACTTCAACTCCGAAAATCCATCAATCAAATAGCAAAATTAAGCAAACACAATTCAGAAAACCTACCAATGAAAAGGTAAAAATCAAAGAAGATGGATAGGTTAGAGAGACAACTCTTATGCATATTTGAGATATAGAGAGAGAGAGGAGAGAGAGAGAGAAATAAAGAGATAGAGAGTTTGAATGAAGAAGATTGGTGGGTTAGAGGATGAAGGTTCTTCAAACTGGAATTAGGCGAGAGATTCTCTCTCTCTATCTCTCTACAAAATGAGAAATGAGGGCTAAAATTTATGGATAACCCATTTATATGGGATGACAATTTGGTCATTTCAAGGTGTAGAAAAAAAATCATATTTCTGTCCGATTGTTGTGCATGCCGTGTGCATATCCGAAATTTCCCATTTTTGTCCCAAAATTAAGAAATTGTCCTATTTCTGGGTATTTCCCTTCATTTTGATATGTAATAGTTAAATGATAATGTAAGGCATAATTATTTTCTTTTTGCTCATTGCTTTTGCAATATGTTGTTTAAAGTGTGTTTGATCTTTTATTTATTTATTGTTTATTTTTTTTTATGAACAATTGTGTTTGATCTTCATAATTGCTCTGTAGGGTTTGGTAATTTGATCTTGATCTTGTAGTTAGGTCCCAGTTATCATCATGAAAAATGGAATCGGTTATTATTCTACAGAAAAAAAAAAAAACTATTATTTTCCTTTATTATTAGATAAGAGGAAGAGAAAATAAGCAGTATCGAATTCAAATGTCAAAAAGAGCTCAAGTATGCGCACGTTGGTGTCTCCCCAAATTAGGGTTCTACAGTCATCATCTACTCAAAAATCAAACAAACTTTATCTTCTTTGTAAATTGTTTTTTTCAAACATATCTCACGCTCGGACTTTTTTTCATTAGCATGTTTGTGTACGGATAATAAGACAATTGCAATGCCGGCTGCTGCAACTAAAACATTTAAGGAGTTCAAAGTTTCAACCAAATGACTGAGATGACAATTTATCAGGCGAAACTAGTTGCTGCCAAGACAAATAAAACAATGTTTTACTCACTTTTCATTAAGCATGCAGTCATTAAGAAAAGTACGTAGATTTCAAATTTTTAAGTCTAATGGTCTAGAGGTTTTCTACTTAGCTGAAGGTTGAAAGTCATAGATCTTGGTTTTATATTAAAGCATTCAAGGTTTTTGGTCTAGCTTGATACTATTTTCCAAGCCATTTTCAGCAAACGAGTTATAAGTAGGTAAATGATAGCGAACGTCAAGTCAAATTATTACATTCTTGCATTACGTTTTAATCAAATGACTTTAAAAGATGATCCCATCTCGAAATATAAGACAATTAAGGTATCAATTGACAAAATGACATCTATTCTTAAAGATTTTGCACAAAAATGTTCTAAACTCAAAACATAAATAGAGAATTTATAGAACCCTAACTGTTCATCCTAATATCTATACAACAAGGTCAACAATTAAATTCTTTCCTCGTGCTAAGAAATTTTGAGAAATGGGGTTTGAGAACATGCAAGAGACGTATTGGAATGGGGCAAATTAGCCCACACTCTCTCCTCTCCTTGGCGTGCAAATTCAAACTCCAACTCGGCGCTTTGTGCAGCTGACGCGGAGGGGACCCACAGGTCGCGTCTCGTCCGGAGGCTAGAGTACATAATTCTGACGATGCATCGATACCAAACTCATTAATTTTATTTCTACCCAACTTGAAATTCCAATAGCTTATATATATTTTTTATATTGTTTATAAATACCATTATGTTTAGGATTTTTCTCTTCCTTTTTTTTTTTCCTTTTTTTTTCCTCTTATATTTGAACAGTAATAATTAAGTCAGGTCAACACTTTATGTTAATTTCTTTTATAAAAAAAGAGAAAGACAAAATAAAAAGTATGAGAGAAATGAACGGAAGGAGAGAGAATCCGATTCTAAGTGTTTTTCATGTGAAATTTAACCATGGCTCTTGGGTTTTTCTGGTTGTAAACTTCTGTTTATCAAATAAATCTTAAACCAAATTTGCGTTGAATATTTTATCTAATTTTCATGTATGATTTGATTGTTTCAAAAGTTTGTCACTTTGTGACGGTCGAAGAATCCGAGAGAGTGATGTAACAACGAAGTAATTATATGTAGGTTTGTGACCCAAGTTATATGAATGTCTGTTACAAATCAATTGGGTAAAAACGAACCAATGAGAGCAAAGATGGAACTTATACGTAGAAAGGAAGGTCCTTGAACACAAGTATTTAGAGTTCTTAATTATAAGAAGATAATTTAGATAATTGTTTAAGTGGCACTAAAATTCATGTTTGTAATCTCAAGCTTTGCCATCCCCACTTTCCCCCTCTGTTCGTATCCAAGTTTCTGGGAATGAAATTGTAAAAAAAAAACAACAAATGCGGTAAAGAAAAGATTAGATAATTGAGTAGGTTTTTTTTATATGAATGAGATAGTTTAGGAACTAATGTTAAATTACAAAAATAGATTCACAACAAGAGTTTAATTATTGAACAACTTACCAATAGTACGTATCTTCTAAATTTTAAATAACAAAAAAATTATAGTTTTTTTTCTGTAAAAGATTGCTCGTAGTTTTATGCGTACACTACTAGGAAACTAAAGGTTGAGGTAAGTCGTATGATTCAACCAAAGTATGATTCCATGCAGAGAGTCAATTGGGTATAAAAATAAATAGTATGATTTCCAATAAAATTTCCTTCAATATACCCAGAGCCCACCCGATCTTAAAAACCCTAAACCCTTTTCAAACTATTCAGGACCCACCACATCATCATAAGTATGCCCATGTATGTCATGACCATGCATGTATGCATTGCATGCATGCCATCGATCGCATCATCATGTATGTATGGGTAGGAAGCGGCAGGAAAATTGCAACATCTAGAAAGGAAAGTGGGCAAGCAATTCGAGTCGTGGTCATGGCTGAGTCAGAGATTTAGGACCTCATTCATGACTCACCCATCAATCCTCCATCAACTTTTCATTTTTCTTTTTCCAGATTTTGTCTTTGTAGTAACGTGATCAAATTGCTGACAAATGGCAAATGCATTCTCAAATTAAATTTCATTATCTTCTATTATTGCTAAATTAGGTAAATCCCATGATCAATTTTTAAATTGATTTTGGATGTGTCACAAGATGGAGGGAGCTTATTGCTACCTCAACCATGATATATAAAAATTCGGCACACCTTAAACAATATGTGATGTGAATCGTAGCTTAGTTTTGAGCATAATATTAATAGACCTGGCAATTTTTTACACGATTCGTTAATATGACACGAAATTAACGAGTTTTGCATTAACACGATAACTAATCGGGTCATTATCAGGTCATTCTTTAAGAACCTATTAATAACGGGTTTACACGCGAGTAACCCATGGATGACCAGTTTCGACCCGTTAAGAAAAAAATTATGTTGATGATTTAATTAAACTACTAAATAAAATTACCATAAAATACAATAGCCATAGTATATACTTTATATTATGTATTACTCTATTATTATTCTGTACAAGTTATAAAGTTAAGTTTTACTTACTTATTTAATTTTATTATGAAGGATCTAATTATCATTACTAGGATAAATTTCACTTGACCTACTGTCCAAAATTCAAATAAACTAATATAGTATTAGTACAGACAGACTTCCAATTTTTGAGTAAAGTACCTAACAAAGCTTTTTACTTTCTCTCATACTCATAAATATTTTGTCCTTTTAAAAGTGAGATTAAACATTATAACAAATTAATTTATAAGTGCGAAAAATGTCAAAAAATATGCAACTCGTGATTGCTCATCTACTCTTTGAGGTGGGTACATCGTTGTTTGAATTTTTAAAACCCTACAAACCCTCATGAATAGTATTTTAGGGGAGTTCAAAATAGATAAAAATTAATTAAAGTACAAGTGTGAAAATTGTGGGAAAAATATATAAACGCCCGTGATGACATCCTCCACAAGTATACGATAGTTACATTGTCGTTTAGGTTTTTAAAACCCTCCAAACCCCCATAATTATTGTAAA